TTCTACTGATGTGCATCTGTTACCTTGCGTAGCCATCCACCTGCAGTGGCTTTGGTCTGAAGCCGTTGCATTGAGTCTATTACCCATTAAGTACGTACTTTTGATTTAATTGGGAGTTAATTGTGTGACAGATGCACATAAGTAGGGATCACAAAGAGTGTTTTGAGTGTGCATATGTAAGAGAGCACTGAGTGAATATATTCAACTGTACACTCTTGCTTGGGTCCTGCTGTCACTAGTTCGCTAGCAGCTCTTTGCAGAAGATAAAATCAAAGGTGTTCTCTATTAAAATTTCAGTGCACTTGATGACAAAAAAAAGAAAATGCCGTGTTACATCTTTCAGCCATTTTTCAGTATCTGTTTCCAAAGAATGGTGAGAAAAATAGTAGATTGTGAAATGCAGTTTGAGTTTTCATTTGCAATGATGTTTCTTAATGAACACTGTTGCATTCCTAGGACCTTTCCCAAAGGTCTATAGGAGCTGTTTGAGTGTACTATATGCAGAATTGCTTTCCCATTCTGTTTCCCTGGAGGCCTTGCTTGGTACCTTCTTGCTGAAGAGTCCCCTTTGTTGATGCGACTTGCTCGGCCTCTCTGAGTGGGATCTATCACAAACTGTATCCATTTAAATCAGTACTGGTGTATTTCCTCCTCCTCAGCATTAATGCTCATCCAGTCCCATGTAGAGCCAATGGAGCTCGCTAATCCAGGAAAAAAAAAAATAGTAGTTAACTTTTTCAGTAGGTTGGCCTTCTGTCAGGTTACCAAGTTGGACTGGCTCACCTCAGGGCCAAATTTCAGACTGGCAGTGCTGGTCTGAAGGAGGCAGAGGGAGGGTTTGTGCCTACCAGGGAGGGTGGCAAAATTGCAGCAGCTCCCCTTCACTCACATTGGCTTAAACTTGTTGCAGTGCTGTATGCCCTCAGTTCCTTGTGCCAGCTTGGGTAAATGATCATCCATAAGGTACAGCAACCATTTCACTTGCCAGTATGCTTTTCATCTGTCGCTCTCTCTTCAGATAGTGCTTCTTTTATGTTAATGTTGTAATATTTTATGAAGATAGCCATATATTCTCTGCCACTGGTATTTCGAGCTGTGCCTTCAAATGGTACATGATTGGTTTTGGTGTTTATGCTTATTGAACTGAAAATACACGCCACTAGAGTAGCCGATCAGCTGACCAGACTGCTCATCAACCAGAAGATCTTTGGAGTAGTGCTCTTTAAAAAAAACAACAGATATATGTCTGAATGAAAAAGTTCTTTTCATAGTATGTGTATCTTTACTACATGTTGCTACACGTTACTGTACTTTCAAAAGAGCTCAGTTCATGTACTTGCAGCAATATCGCAGCCCTAATGTTAGTACTAGCTTTTAGTACATACTCAGTTCAGAAACTCTTGAAGTGTAGAGAGTATTGAGGTTTGGAATTGACACTGCTCACGACTGTTGTTGCGTATAAAAAGCTGTTGTTTAAAAAGAAGAAACCAAACAAAAAAACCCCAAAACTGCCAGTTTGTTTATATCTTGACTTAATGCTTTTTATATAATTTTGAAAGAATTTGAGTGTTGGCAAAATGTTCCCCTGGCACCTCTCAATGGGGAAGAAAGGATGTTTTACAGTCTGTAGTACTGGATTTGAGCTTGGAGTCCAGCTCATCCTTATTTTAAGTGATATATTTAATCTCAGTGTAACCTTAGTAAAGAGTAGTACTAGGATATACAGCTAATCTTTGAAGTATATTTAGAGAATACTGGAGATGTATTGATTCAGCTGTAGAATTAAGATTGTGTTAAAGCCTATGTAAAATAACTTCATTTGGGTGTTAATGTTCATAAAGGTTTAAAGAATTTGTAAAAGGAAAAAACAGTGCAACTTCCTGACTGTAGAGAAAAACTGATCTGATAATGTTTTCTAAGTACATATCTTTTCTTTCTCAACAACTGTTGGGTGTAATGAGAGGAAGAGAGAGAAAATGGAACAATTAATGCACCATATGTACAAAACAAAAAAACCAGTCTGTAGGTGTTATACTGAACAAGAATATGTTTTAGTCCCATCTATCTTTTTTATGTAGATAGCATTTACTCATTTGTATTGCATTTTGAAAGACTTGTACCCAGTAATGGATACTTGTGTTGTTTGTTGTTGTTTTTTCTTTTAAGCTAAAAATATATATACATATTAGGTCTTTGTATCTTTTGGAAACCCTTTTAGTTTAACCCCACATATGAACATGGGATGATTTGAAATCCATCCATTATCAAGCAACAAAATTACACTACATCTTAATGATTTGGTGTTGTTTCTTTTCTAGAAGAAATAAGCAGCTTCCCCTTCAAATCTTGCAAGGACAGCAGCTGCAGATGAGAATGAGCTTCCATATTTAATACATTCTATTAACTTCACACATACAAACACACGCTCACTCACTCACGCACCCCAGTGTCACATTATAGGTGAACAGGCCCTAATTAAAAGCATGCACCATCTGCCGGTGTGCGGCAGCAGGGTGGCACTCCATAACCATCCTGATTCCTGTGATTGAAATGTATTATTTATGAGCTCAAAGAGAAAATATGCGGCTTGAGTGGTGGAGGCTGCATTAGGAGCTGGATAGCACCATCTAACGGTACGGAGTGCCGCTGGCTATTCATCTTTCCTCTTCTTCCTCTCCCCTCCTCAGTCTCCTCCCCCATATTTTTATTTTTCAACATCATCTTTGGAGTTTTTTATGATTATATTTCAGACAATTTTGTGTCTCATGTTTCACTTTTATACAAGATTGAAAACGGTGGTTGAAATATTACACTATTTGTGGTGTTTGCAGCAGCCTTTTTTTCCTTCCAGCACCGCACATAGGGTTTTACTTTCTGTAGTAAAAATGATACTGATTTGATGTGGTGGTAGAGAAGTGGGACATTATCAAGATAGCTGAGCAGGATCAGTTTACTGCCGTTTCTCCTTCCCCTCCCAAGCACGTGTGTAATGAAAGTATCTACTGCTCAGTCTGAAAATTTTATTTTAATATTGAAATTGGCCCTATTTTTTACTGAGCAGTACACTACAGACAGCATAAAAGTTCTTTACTGGGTTGAAAAGAAAGGGGAGAGATTTGGAGATAGGTGAAGCTCTGGACCTTCCTCTCTGAAAGCAAAGATCGTAACCTCTTCTGACTTGCAGAGATCGTGTCCTGTTATTGCTTCTTAGTGGGGAAATGGATGAGGAGGTGTTAGCCTGAGGAGTGAAAAATACTTTGTCAGGAGAGGAAAGGGGTGACAGGGAAGGAGCCCTTTTTGTTATGGTTGGCCCATCAGTCTACCTTTGTTGACTGCTGGATTACAAAGTCAGAACTAGTAATCATGTATTTAGTGGTTAGCTCAATGACCTTTAAAGTATGCAGAATACAAATAGTCACACTGATTCAAAAATAATTTGGGGGATGATTTTTTGGTTCTTAGGCTTTTTGTTATGTTCTTGAGCTTTGCAGTATTCATCCAACAGTGTGTTTACAGCAATAACAAGCAGTAAGGACTGGACTGATACGTGAAATATGAAATTTTTCTACAATAACTTCCAGTAAAACCACTTTTTTTTAATTAAATAATCTGGTCACTGTTTCAACTCAGGCAAGACAAGACCCTGAATAAAAAGATATATGTATAAAACTGGGCAAAATATATATGTGTGTGTATGTATATTTTTAAAAGTCAGCATGTTTTAAAGAATACTGAAATGTCATAAACTGTGGCACATCTATGAAAACACGTCGTCTTATTGTTTGTGTTTAGAACGTATGCCATCAGAAGGATAAGAGATGCCTTCAGAGAAAACAAGAATATAAAGGATTCTGAAAAAATAGAAGAATTAGTGAATAAAGCCAAAGCAAACCTAGAGGTTATTCATCGGCAGGTATGTTTATTTCTCTCATTTTATCTAAGGGTTGTACACTCCTCAGTTAACTGTCTTATGCCACTACAGATGGAAAAAATAGATCTTTGCTCAAAACATCTCTGGATGAACAGTAGGTTTTGTATGTCTGAGTTTGAGAGGGTAGGAAACATCTGTTTATCCATGTTGGTTGCAATAGGGGATTTAGGGACATTTGTTCCATGAACCAGAACAGGCCTTGCTGTCAAAAGTTTATATGCTCTTCCGTTACCTTTTCTGCTGCTTGTTTTACTGTCTCTTCACTCTGCTTGTCTGTTCTGCCCTAATTTTCCTTTGAATCTGTTTCCTCTAGCTTATGTGTATTAGATTCCTTTCCTCACGCTTTCCTCCTTCCATCATAGGTTTAGAAGAGTTGCTGTGACACTCACTCCAAATAGTCTTGCCTTCTGTGTTTGTTTTTCCCCACCTCCAGGTACAGTGTTAGAACAGTAGCAGAACAAGAAAATCTTAAAGTAAATTAAGTAAATGCTGGCAAATGTGTCCAAGCAGGGTGATAGATTTTCCTTTGGAAAAAGTTGAGTCACTGGCAATATTTTTCTCTGTCCTTGTCTGAGTAGCATTTATAGCATCTCTGTTCCTTCCACTGGGTTCCATATTATTTAGACATGAATTATACTTCGTTGAACTTTAGATACTTTATTACTTCTCATACATACCTGCTGTCTATCTACAGTGATCACTGGAAATTTGAAGAAAGCAAGCTTCTACACCTGAACTCTCTAAGGGCACTTGCAATGCTTAAGCTGTCCCTCCTTGCAAAATCTGCACTTACTGACACCGGTCAGAGCTCAGTAGTATTTTTATTAAATATCAAATGAATATGTGCACCTGTTCCTCCATGGTCTGTTTTAACACAAATCTTTTAACAACCAGCAGATCAGTTAGCTGGATTCTTATTTCAGTGGGAAGCTGGGCCCTTTGATTTGGAAATTAAGTATGAATATTTTGGTGCAAATTAAATTATTTCTTTGGAATTTCTTCTCCCAGGAACAGGTGTTGTTTTGTGCTATCATAGCTTTGCTATCTTTTTTTAACCCAAACACTGCTATTTTTGTATTTTAAAAGTGTTTCTCGAAGAAGCAATTCAGATTGGATTGATTCAATGCAATTTTATTTAAATGTTGGGGTGTTTTTTCTCATATCTGCAGGTGATGACTAGCATTTTCACCTCTCCTTTTTGAGCTTTTATCTTGGAGAGCCTTGATATCCAGTCTTCTCCAGGGAATTATTAGAGGCTGGAGAAGACAATGAAGGAGGGGGTGTCGCAGGAGAAGAGTCAGAGATCACTCAAACAGATCTGAGCTAGTAGTTAGTTTATTGAGTTCTGATCGGTCAATTTCATAGAATCATAGAATCATAGAATAGTTTGGGTTGGAAGGGACCTCTAAAGGTCATCTAGTCCAACCCCCCTGCCGTGGGCAGGG